TTAAGGTGATTCGTCAAGCTCAAAAGAAGTGGTCGAACTGGCATGCGATATATCGCATCTTTTAGGTCAAAAATCTCGGCAGATTTTGAATTTTCAGTAAAGAAAAGGACGATAGCCCCTGCGCATGAGCCTAAAGAATCATTCTAAACCTTAAAATCGGCAAAATTCAGAGAAATGAAAGCAGGATAGTGTTTGGAAAAAAACCTCGCATTCGATTCAGCTATCAATTTCGGTATCGAATGCGAGGTTTTTTTCCAAACACTATCCTGTTTTCATTTCTCTGAATTTTGCCGATTTTTGAGTTTAGAATGATTCTTCAGGCTCATGCGCAGGGGCTATCGTCCTTTTTTTTGCTGAAAATTCAAAATCTGCCGAGATTTTTTACCTAAAAGATGCGATGTATCGCATGCCAGTTCGACCACGTCACTTGAGCTTGACGAATCACCTTAACGTGTTTATTTTAGTTCATCGCTCACATTTGTACCAGTGGTGAGGCGAGAATTATAAATTATCGATAGCTCACCATTTGAAGCTGGGGTAAAAAATCAACACATTCCGCAATAAAAACGAACGAAAAAAAAGAAAGTTTAAAAATTAACTGCAACGCTTGAAAATATAAGTGTTTAAAAATACCATCGGCTAAATAGCAAAAATACAACTGACGTCATTTGTATAATCTGGCTTTCATTTGGACAACAGTTTGCTGTTGGGAACTTTCTGACTACCTATCCCGCATGCAATATTTTAGGTGTCTTTCCACCTAGTTGCATAGCGAAACTATCAGCACGCGCGTTGTGTCTAAAGAGAGCTATAAATTATCCATTTAATCTGGGATAAAAATATTTTTCAGTTTCTCGCCCTGGGGTTAAATTCTTGAATTGATTGGATTTTTTTCTAAGTAAGATATTTTGAGACGTGTGTGATTTTTTTTCTTCAAACTGTGTCCAGATTTTACTCATCTGGAAAAGATATTAAGTTTTACCTAAAACTTGACGACGAAAGAAATACATGCTTTGATGAAGTATATCGAATACCTAACCATGAACGTAAGGAACGTCCCGCAATATGACAGCAACAGTCAGAGTCATCGAAACAAAAACAAAAAAAAAACAGCATGACTCTCAGAAGATGGCTCATTTTTTAACAACATAATAAATGTTAAAAGATCTACTAATTTGATGGATGGTCGATGAAGATTTCAAGTTCAAACCACTAACTAGCTTCAAGAAGATATTTTTAATGTTTCAATATTCCATTGATGGAAACTAAACTAGGTACTAACTTTAGGGGATATATTTATTATAAAACCTGGTTAATATTAAGTGCGATGACCATCATAATTATTTCCATAATATTATCGTTTTTATTACATTTCTTCATAACTATTTTATTACTTAGCGTAAGGTTTAGAGCGGAGGCTAAGCTTTGATAGTTTTTTTTTTTCGAACCATCAAAATGCAAAGTAGAGTACTCTTAAAAATAGGATCTAGACTCACGTTAATAGTCTTTCTATGTCTGGTAAACGCTGACCCCAGAAAACGCACGGTCCTTTAATTGCTTCGATGTAGTACAGACAAGCGCGCCCATGACTACATGCCGAGTGCTCTGCTACAACTGTCAACAAAGACAAATCCAAATCATTAGGGGGGTCATTTTCCTAGTTTCTAAGCATGTAATAGACGTTATATTCACACGTGTTACTGAAGGATCTTAAGAATGATAAATTTCTTTATTACGCAATTTGGAATGCGATTATAGGAGAAAGAATGCCTCATCAGTTGGAACAGAAAAATTGGCATTTAAAGGTTTCTATCTCCAGAGGATGCTATATCAAAAATTAATTTAGTCAGGATAGTTTCACTCTTCACTATTGGCATCATGAAACATCAAGAATTTAGATTCACGATAAGCTGAGCTTGTATCTTACTTTTACTTGTCAAAAAATCAAAGTCCACAAACATGTTCAGGGTCCCAAACATGGGGTTAAAGTTCATTTCTTTATCTTCAATCAATGCAGTTATATTTTCCTGATGAAGAAGAGATGCTCTCAATTCACTTCACAAATTTAAATGAGAATATTTTACAATAAGGTCACACAAATTTTGGTGAAAATGAAGAAAGTCGTTCCCGACGTACCGAGAAATATTTTCACTTTCATCGAAAGGAACTTCCATTGCATTTTTTCAAAAATCAAGTTTTTTTCGCAGAAGAATTCAAGTTTTTTTTTTTTTTTTTTTTTTTTTTTTTTTTTTTTTTTTTTGCCTGACGATTTCAGATTTAATTTCACAGATTTATCTCAGAAGAATTGGACCCCGTTTCGTTTATTTTAAGCATCTGAAGGTCTTCTGCGAGAAACACTAGGTGAAAAATTCCTTCTGGTTCAAAAATAATTTTTTCTCAGAACAAAAATACAATAAGTTTTTCACGCAAGTTTCAGTGAAATCAAATATTTGAAAACATTTAATTTGAGCCATAAACCACCAAAACCCATTTAAAAAAAAATACACACACACCATTCCGTAGGATATATTAGCTCAGCAAAAAAAATTAGGTTTTTGGGGAGAGAAAAAAAACGACGGAGGATAAGGTGTAAGTTCTTACACTCCCATGGTACTGCAGCTAAATCTGTAAGGTCGGTAATGTTCGCCACGGCTTCCGCGGCACTATTTCTCACGCATCCCGGTTGTGTCACCTGTTCATTGAAGTAGAAATCTACATCACCTGAAAAGATCATGGAAAATAATGTATCAGAGGATATTCGTGTGATCGTTCGCAGGATGCAGGACCCTTATCACACGGAGGCAAAGTTTTGAAGAGAGCTTTTTTTTTCCCAAATAGAGTTGGAATTTGAAATTTCAACGGAAACCATTCTCCAGCATGTCAAAAAATAAGTTGCAAGAACAAGGTAATGATCATATGATCCTAGACAAGGTGGCGTAGTTACACAGCATAACGCAGTGCATTTTCACTATCGAGGGAAAAAGCTCGTAATGACGCCGCCTTGGCTAGGATCACAGGATCACTATCTTGTACTTGTTTACCGGTGCTTCTACCCGCACTTATTCTTTATAAGTTGCAAGGGTTTGGATCATCTTTATGCATAAAAAAGGCCGTAAATTTGTATTTTAATCCGACAATTTCGGACCCCGGAAACAGTATTTTAAAATGTTCAATAATTTTTTCTGATGATTCAGTTTTCTGAAGTGGTGCGCCGAAAACGCGCCCCTCTGACAGATAAGAAAATAAGATGAGAAAAAAAATTACGATCGAGAATATACGTGGAAAATTTCTTAAATGAACGGAAGAAGAGAGAATTAGGAGTAAAGATAGGTACTTTTACGCATGTCAGTGGTGGACAGAGGTCCAAGAACTACTTCCTGAAGCGTTAACACTTTTCTGTGAAATGTTCACCTTTTTGTTGGCATACAGGCGCTTTAACATCCCTCTCTTTCATTCGCTGTAAACATATTTCTTCCTTTTCAAAATGACTATTGATATGGACATATGAGCGACATCTCATTGACAGCATATAGCAGAGTATTGAGAGCTCACGCATCGGGTCATGGCGCCTTCAATTTTTCGGATGCAGCACAGACGTCCATCAGGTACGAATAGTTGTATCTCTGCGCCGTCGTTAACGTTCATCCTTTCCGTCACTTTATTTCCATACTGTGTTCGTTTGTTGTTGTCTTATTCGTAACAGTGCTTCAAACTAGTAGCATAGAGCAGAGCATTGCGTGTTCATGACTCACGCCATCGCATCTTACATTTTTCATGTGCAATGTGGAAATCCGTCTTGCGCGAAAATTTGAATTGCGTTCATACTTTAGATGTCTCTTATTTTTGAATTTTGAGATAAATTAGGGTTAAGTTTGCCCGAGATATGCTTAGGCAAACTTAGTTTGATAGCTTGAAAACGTAGTTTGAAGCACCATTACGAATGAGAAACGTAAACAAACACAATTATGTAGAAATAAAGCGAGGGAAAGGATGCGTGTCTACGACGGCGCAGAGATACAACTATTCGTACTTGATGGACGTCCGTGCTGTATCCGAAAAATTGAAGGCGCGATGACGCGAAGCGTGAGCTCTCACTGCTCTGCTATATGTATGCTGCCAATGAGATGTCGCTCAAATTCGGGAGAAAAGTTTAAAGAAAGAGGCCCGAATACGTATTTCCTGTCTTCGGCTGTGTTGATACTCGTTCTTTCTTCTCTTTTCAGGTTCTCGTCTAATTCTTTTTTAGGATGGATTTGCAGACCCACGTCTTAAGCTCGTGTAAACCGCAGAACTGGCTCGGTTCTTTTGGAGATAATGGTGCTTGGATGCGTCTAGTGGCTTTAACTTTTTATGTTTTCTTGAATTTCTGAAGTCTGTCTGTTACTTCAATACGTTCAATTTTGCAATTTTTACTCTGTACGATTAATTAACATTGAACCTAAAAAAAGCGTAAACTTATGCTGCTTTGCCAAAATTTTCTGGGCTCCTCTCCACGTATGGGATGTTCTACCAGGAAATATCACATTACGCCCCATTAACCACCCAAGGGTCTACGCCCTCAGATGCGAGCCAGTCCGACCCTGCTTTCATAACTCCCATGACTCTTTGATTTGACATTTTTCAGAGTTTTTTTGCGCCAAAATATTTGGAAATATTATTGTGGAACTCCTTTTCAAAGCAGCCACAGCAATATATCAGTTTTGTAATTGTCGATACTGAGGTCCCTTTTCAGAATGGTCAAACGTATGACTCCAATGGCAAGGCTTGAATGATCAAATATCGATATTTCCCCATTTGAAGCTATGGTAAAGAATCTATTATTGATGTGTTCGTTGCAAACCACTCTGTTTATCGATTCTTTTCCATGGGTTTCATTGGAAGATCAATCGATACATCGGAAACCATGCCACGCTACGTGTCATTCTGCCGGTCAATAAATTAAGCGTTATTGTTTGATTTGAATCTGAATTGAGAATCGCTGTTCATCCATTTTCAATCGGATCGGCTTGGAGCCTTCATAACAGTTTGTAGGGGCAAAAAATGTTTAAAAAAATAAAATGAAAAAATAAAAGCCGTCTTCGTTCAGATATGAGCTCAGACATTCCCAATTAATGATAGTAATAGCCAAGGAGGGATATAATCTTCTGGCGTTAGACGGCTATCTGAGGGCAGATATGATGGATGAACAGTCTAAACGACCTTTTTAAAATTTTGCTTCGCAGACTTACTCTAATTTAATCACACGATGAACCCGACACAAAACTTTTGAAATAAAGCGGCAATTTTTGGGGAAACTGTGTGACGTTTCTAGCGATTATTTGCATCGAATCCTTGGTGCGTGTAAAATCCAATAGCAAATGTATATTTGAGGAAACAGTCAACATCAAAAACGTCGAAACACAGGTTTACCCACCGAACTGTCTCATGATCCCAAATCCAAGGAACGGAATAAGTGGTGCGGCATTGGTGTGAATCCCGACGACGAATTTAGCGTCACCCTCGTGCAAACGCACCGATTCATCGGCCAACTCAAAACCCGGTTGGGCTGCATCCAATCCTATGGACAAAAATGGAAAAAGTCATGAAAAATAAAAAAAATATAATAGAAAATCAAAATGAATGGGTCAGTTGTGCTGGTCACAGAATCGTGTTTTGATGTTTGGATTCTTGAAGACGAGGAAAAAATAATATGATCTGTCCAAACAGCAATTCTCTATGTCCAGTATTAGCCGAGTTTTTGAACTTTGAAAAAGTCGGTATATGATGTCATCCACCGCCTCTACTCGCAATTAAGAGCAGGGATGCAGAATTGCAGACGGTTTTTTTTTTTGCCCTCCGGAAAAATCGTGTTTTCCGAGGTACGCACTTCTGCACGTCCACCACCAATGTTGCGGAACGTATACATTAAAGCACGAGAAAATTTGTGATATGAAATGATGAGGGATAAGAGACAAGCACAATGTGAATGAATGTAATTTAATCGATGTTCAGCTAATTGACAAATGCGAAATACTTGAGTCGCAGACTTTTTCAAATACATCTTATAGCTTCACTCGTCATTGCAGGCTTTAAACCTTTTTAAACCAGTTGTCTCCCAACACTCTGTTTTTCGATACAAACGACTTGTGAGATGCAACTAATGGTGCGTTTCAGAATAAAATTACATACTCAAAGGAATGAAGGCGTTTTGACAACCGCACATCAGTCCGCCTCTAATTAATTCAACTTGTTTAAAAGTGTTTGCACCTGCAACGTCTTGCTGACCTATGCACATTATTTAAAATTAGGGATCAGAGAGTCATTGACCCTTGAATACGAAGGTATGGTCCAGCTACGATGACACACTGAACAATTACCCCCGCATGTCAAAAGAGACCATTCACCTCCAAATTTTACTCTGTTCATGACTTCTCGATAGAAATGTAGCGTCCAAAATCAGGACACGCCGATTGAACACCGTCATCTCCTGACCCACTATCCTAATTTGACTGGCTTACTTGGAATGGCGAAGTACGTTTAAGGGTGCAAGCCCTTTTCTGAGTTTCTTGCGCATTCGCGAACTTGAATGGCATACGCTTAAATTTTCTTATATGTGAAGGTACGCTTTGCTTTAGTTGCGATGTAGATCGTACAGCCATCCCTGTTTTTTATTGTACTTTTATGTAAAGAAAAAGAAAGCGTATCTATAATTGAACGCATTTCTGTCAAACGGAACTATGAGCATTATGACGTGAGCCCTGGTATGCATGTATTCTTATGGGTCTCAGGTCTCCTGTCTGAATGCACATAGTTCCGTTTGATAGAAAAACGTCCAATTGCAAATAGGCGTAGAGCATAGAACATTTTAAAATTTCAACAAAAAAATGTTTGGGAATACCTGTGCATTCTTTAATTAGAGTTCCTTCTGCTTTTAGTTCTTTGGCAACATAACCGCAAATGTGCGCTCCCAAGCTGTGACCTATGCAGTGCGTTTCGCTCAAATCCGCACCTTGCTTTGAGAAGTATCGCAAAACTCTGGAATTGAATAACATTTGAATAACTATCACATAAAAACATGAAAAATGAGACCTCTGCGTGGAAAAATATCCGCTTGTTACAATGGGGTGACGTGCATTGCGATTTGTCGATTGATCTGCCATTTAAACTTATGGAAAAGGATCGATAAACCGAGTGTTTACGATGAACACCTCAATAATAGATGCCGTACCATAGCTCAAATGGGGAAATATCGATAGTCGATCGTTCGCGCCGCATATTATCAATGCAAGTATCACGGATGAACGGCTTAAGTAACAATCTACTAATGCCGAGATACCCACGGCTATTTTGACGCTTATTGTGCGTTTTGGCTTAAACGTTTGAATGGAGGAAGAAATGCATAATGCTCCAAAAAGTATGATTCGCCTACTTTTGAGCGTGTGGGCAAAAGCAAATCCGAAGCATCTAAATGGTTGCAACATGAGATCACTCAGCCTACATGCTGTACCTTTTTGCAAATTGTGAATGTGCAGTTGTTGCGGAATGCGAGTGCACAGCCGGTACATAAGCGGGGGGCCAAAAAACTGCTCGGCCCCACCGCCCCACCCACATATTGTGAGAAATTTCGCTTGGATATTTTCCTCCGTGAAATTGCAATTGAATCAATTTTTTGGTGAAAACAGCTCAAACCTGCTACTGAGATGATTCAATTTTTCAAAATTATCCCGGTGAACCCC